ACCCTTTCTAGGATGAATCTGTTTGTTTTCCTAGCAGTCTGAGAAATACTAAAAAAAATACTAATATAGTGGTTGCTGTGATGCTAAACACTGTGACACTGATGTGTCAAATGTGATAATGGTTACCGATGGTGGACATTGTTTGGTGCAGCTCCCCAATTAAAGCAAGCTTGGAAACAGAAGTGGTATCTACTTCCGAAATAGCTTGCCTCCAGAAACCCTATGAACTTGGAGAAATGATGGAAGTTATACAAGTGTTCAGGTCTTTTGTTTATAGGGTCGCTTATGAGTTGTCTACGACTTGACAGCACATAACAACAACAATCTAGTAATAATGATTTGTAAAAATTTTAAAGTATTTCTATAGACTATATATCTACTCATTACTCATCAACATGGTTAGATTCGAAAGACCAACTCCTAGGGAGCTGTGGTTGCTTAGTGGCAAGAAGCTATACTGCAATCCCAAGGGCAACACTGTTCAAATCCACCAGGTACTCTGCTGAAGAAAGAGAGGCAATCTCCTTCTGTGCCAGACGGATCCGATTTGACAGCACACAACAAGAAAAAAAAAGAGAGATCAAGTCATTTTGCCAAAATCAAGATTACTAAAGAATGGAGGGTGATTACATTAGAATGCAAAACAGAGGATGACTGTATCATTAAAGAACAGCATAACATTGAGAATCATGGGAAAGCCAAATTGACACACAATCTTAAAATACAGCCAGCAATGGTCTCACTTCCCATCTCAGCCTTTGTTACCTTAATATTGTAAATGTGAAATGTTGAGTAATGAGAGAGTTGCTAAGTGATGAGTTGGAGGAAGCAAGGTATTCACAGGGAAGAGATGTTTCCTTTTTACTTTTACAGATTTGTGACATTGTTTGTTTTAAACAACCAGGCAGTATTTCTTCTGTATTTTTAAAAACAAAATGTAATGCTTCTGACTTTTAATTTTCTTATCCATAAGTAGGAAAATAGATCTACTTACCACTTTGAGAGTTGTTTTGATTACCAAAATGGAATAGTCAACATAAAAGCTTTTTCAAAAGTATAAAACCACTAATGCAAATGTGATGTATTCTTGACATCAAAAATTTTTTTTATGTCTCAATACATGGATCCTTGAAGAGGTCAACTATCCAGAGAGAGTTCAGGTCCTCTTCTCAGGCACAGGGGTCTGTAGGCTCATCAGGCTTTACAGATCCTATCTCCAGTCCTAACAATTTATTTCTGATCTGTTTCTGCAAATTCCTCAATTCTAGCTCCCATTTATTTATTCATTCATGTGACTTTAAATTAATTCCTCATCTCTGCACTTCCAAATAGAATTTTTTAGGTTTTACCCTATTATTAATTAAAATATTTTTCATATTTTATCCAGTACTTTTCGGGGTTTAGAATGGGAGAATACATTCTACAACACTGACCAGAAATGCATCATCTAAGTGTAATATGAGTTTGCAAATGAACCCAAACCAGGAGATAGAATAGAAAAAACAAAATCACTTGGTATTTAATATTCATAAGATTTTTTCTTCTATAAGATTTTTTTATAGACCCAAAGTCTATATTTAAAATGGATCATATCTCAGCACAAAGAAATAAAATCAACGAGCAACATCATAACAAATGGAGAAAATATTGACGTTGTCAAGGATTTAATTTTACTTGGATCTATAATCAACACCCATGATAGCAGCAGTCAAGAAATCAAATGATGTACTGAATTGTCAAGGACCTCTTTAAAGGACTGAAGAGCAAGAATGTCCCTTTAAAAACTGAGGTATGCCTATGGCATTTTTAATTGTTTCCTATGCATGTGAATTTTGGACAATGAGTAAGGAAGGCTGAGGAATAACTTTGAACTGTGTTACTGGCAAAGAGTGCTGATGATACCATGGACTGCCAAAGAACAAACAATTCCATCTTGGAAGAAGTGAAACCAGAGAGATCCTTAGAAGCAAGGCTGGTGAAACATCATTTCACATATTTCAGGTATATTACCAGGGGTGCCAGTCCCAGGAGGACATTCTGCTCGGAAAATGGAAAGTCAGTGAAAAAAGATGACTCTAAGAAGATGAACTGGCACAATGATTGCAACGGTGGACTTAAACATAACAAGGTTTGTGGAGATCACAAGGATCTGGCAGAATTTTTTTCTGTTGTGCACAAGGTCACTATAAGTTGGGCCTCTTGTTTTAAAAAAATTGCTTACGTTTCTAATTAAGAAAAACTTTAGTCACTAGTTTGAATTTTTTAATAGCAAGTAAAGACATTTTGACCTTGGACACACAGAATACCTGATATCACAATACATGTGTCTTTTGATCGCCTTTTCATAGCTTTGTAAGCAGCATCGGCAATGGCAAAGAGATGCGGTGGCCTCTCATACAGCTCACGTCCTTTATACTGCTCAATGGTGTCCCTCCCGTAGATGTTCAACAACTTGTAAGGATTCACAGAGACGACGACTTCTCCAATGAACGTGTAGATGCGTCCTTTTTCAAATCTGTATAGAAGCAAAAGAAAAGAAAGAATTAGCTGTGGTTATATAGCAATGCTATTTCTTTCCTGTAATTTCTTTATATTCAAACATGTCAATATCCCAGGAATAAACTCTGAACTAGACTTTCATTGGATGTCAGTTTATCTTTACAGCTATTCATTACCTTGGAATGTTGCTGATAAAAAAAACAAAAACCAACCCCACATTTGGACTGAATGAAAAACCAGGAAGGAAAGAGATTTAACTAGCTGGAGATTTCCTGTTTCAAAAATGGAGAAGGTTGAGGGGTGGGAGAGAAACATTAAATAGTGCAAGGGTCCTGAGAGGTCGAGCAAGAAAGGATATTGAAATTAAAGTAGGTCTTAAAATTGACTCAGCTAGATTTTCAGTTATAAAGAGAATTTCCACTTGTATTTATCTTCCTTCTTGAAACTCCACTGAAGTGTTGGTAAAGGAATAAAAACTGGAAATTACCACAATTGAGAGACAGAGAGGACACTTTTGACATAAAGTAATTTTTAATGGCAGCATAATATTCTATAGTGCAGGCATCTCGCTTATAGCCAAAAATGATGACTAACTGGTACTCTATTGTATTTCAGTCCTGTCAATCACATGAGAGGAGCCTGTCCACATTTTCCAGTAGAGTTGCTGGTAGATTTGAACCATCAGAAGTGGCGTGACTTTGGGTTAGCAGTGCAACTCCCTATGTGTCACGCCACCGGAATTACACTATGATTCACAGACATACTATGTTTTATTCAACATCCGCATTTCTTCCTGTCAATATAACAAATACGCAAAAAAGCTTATAGACATAAAATATCACAAACCAGTATTTTAATATCTGTGGGATACATTCCTATGAATGGGACAACTGGTTAAAAGGAATGTGCATTTTAAAAAATATATGAAACAACATATGAGCAAGAGCCTATGGTGATGAAAGAAGTTCAGGCTGCTTTGAAGGAAACGGCAAAAAAATAAGGCTCCAGGAATAGATGGTATACCAATTGACATATTTCAGTTAACAGATGCTGCCCTGGACGTGGTCACCAAGTTGTGCCAAGAAATCTG